CTGTGTTCACGTGGGTTTCCTCCGGGTTCTCTGGTTTCTCCCACAAGTCCAAAGACATGGTATAGGTCAGTGGTGTCCAGCTTGGTCCTGGAGAGCTGATGTCCTGCATATTTTCAGTTCAAACCCCAATTTAACACACCTGAACCAGCTAATCAAGCTCTTCCTAGGTATACTAGACTTCCAGGCAGGTGCGTTGGAGGAAGTTGGAGCTAAACTATGCTGGACAGCGGCCCTACAGGACCGAGTTTGGACACCCCTGCTACAGGTGAATTGGGTTGGCTAAATTGTCCGTGGTGTATGTGTGTGAATGAATGTGTATGGATGTTTCCCAGTGTTGGGTTGCAGCTGGAAGGGCATCCGCTGTGTAAAACACATGCTGGATATGATGGAGGTTCATTCTGCTGTGGAAACCTCAGATTAATAAAAGGACTAAGCTGAAAAGAAAATGAATAAATGATAGAAAGAATTTTGGTCAAAATAATAAAAATTACAAATAAAATAAAAATGACGTTTGCGAGTTTAAAGTAAGCTAAAACAACCCAATTCTTTGGAGATTTTTGGGATGACAATACACATTACTTTTTTAATGTTCAATCCACTTAAATGTATTTAAGTTAACTTAATAAATTCTTGTTGTGCCAACACAAATCAATTAAGTGGAACAGCATTTTTTTTGTGTGTGTGTGTAGGAAAGTTTACAGTATGGCATGCTCATAGGTTACCCACAAATCACCTACAGTTCATCCAGTTTTCAGCCATCTGACAAGAGTATGATAAAATCTTCTAGAAGGACATATATGATTAATCAAACAGTACATGCCAAACCAGATATACTGTATACATATATGTATAAAGTACCTGTCCAGTAAGACATTTTTTTTATTATTTCTCAGCTGGACATCCCCTTATATTCACCCCCGGGGAGCCACAAATGGGCTACATGATAATGTATGAATGCACATATGTCATGTAAGTATGTGTGCATGTGTGTGTCTAAAGCAGAAACAGAAGAAAAGAAGTTCATGGTAGTTTGTTCAGTTGGCATTAAGAAAACATGCTCAAGTGTTCTGGCATGGCTCCATCCCGAAGTGTCAGAACAGTAGACTAGCACAAACAGTACAATGTCCTTTCACTGAGACTCACAAACACTTCTCCAGACACAAGGACCACTCTAAAGACCCTGAACTATAAAAACATGCTACCCACAATAACTGTGGTTACTGCTTAAAAAAATAGCTACAATGTAAACCTAACCTAGAAAATGACTCATTTATATTATATAACACAAAAATAAGTTCATTTTATTTATTTTTTACTGAAAGATGGTGTTCTCGTAACAAGTATGGTGCAAGGTACAAAATAGTACAAGTATTCAATATTTGATCAATAATTGACTAAAATGAACATCAACTGAATTAACTTAACAAATACAAAAAATGATTTGAGGAAGACTAAATAAGAAGAATAAATTCTAAAATGTTTTACTTGTATGCCAATAGTGTCTATGGCATGAAATGGATCTTACTATGTAGATTAGCTTTGCGTTCTACTTGCTTGATCTCACTTTCTTTTACCATCTTGTGCTTCTCAGTGAGGTAGTGATTAGTGATTTTCTGCATGTATTTACTCCGCATGAGTCTAGCATCTGTTCTTTCTAATTAGCCACCAGGAGACGGATGAAAAGAGAGAGAGACAAACAGAGAGAGTGAGATGAAATTGAAAGAGAAGGAGTCAGGGCTGAGGAAAGTAGAAAGAGATCATACTAGAAGGTAACAGGAAAAAAAGGTAGGAATAAAGGGACAGCAACATTACTGAAGACACAAAGAGGACAAAAAAGGAGATCAAAAACATCCTGAATATATAATCTTTATTATTTTCTGATCTTCATGTCATTTCAAACCTCTTTCTACATGAATGGAATGTGGTTAATTGTACCTTTTTGCGCAATTTGTCTCCATGGGGACCAGGGGCTTTAAAAGCTTCAAAGACACCAGAAACGTATCATAAAAATAGTCTACATTACGCATGCATACTAGTAGTTTAAGCCTTTTGTTAGCAACAGATTGAATTATATGTTACTATTCAATGATAATCTTACCCTCCAGCGGGTTATAATCTGCTGTGACCAGATTGAGTGTGAATGAGTGTAAACTAAATAAGCCTGAATTGAGAATAAATCATCATTTCAGAACAAAACTGTTCTGAAAACTGTATCTGCTGAAAACACCAGAAGACAAAAGATTCACCCACAAATAAGAAATCATTGCTTCCCTTAAAGCATGAACTACTTTTACAATTCGGTTTCTAGTGTTTTTGAGAGATAAAAACCCTATTAATTTCCATGTGATTCCATCAAAATTGGTAAAAACTTCTGCTTTTGTGTTGCACGGTCATGCAAATTTGAAACACCACAAGGCTGCATGAAAGAACTATTTCTGTATGGCCCACAAAGACTTCTTCCAACACATCTTTGATGAGTCCAGCCTCTTGTAAATAGAATAAGAATCTAATCCGTTCAATATCACAGCTCAGGGGACTGATCGGTAACTTTCAAACTAATAAATATATGCACAAACAATCACAACATATACTGACAAGTATTTGGCTAAAGAGAAAAAATAATATTTTCTGGTTGAGAATACATAAGTCAAACATGCTAGTTCCTTCCCAGCTGCTCTAGTGATATATATTTTATACTGACAGTAAGCAGCGCAATATGATAAAAAAAACTATAGCAATCCCCCAGTAATCAACAAAACAACCCTGCTTTCTTAATGTAAATAGCTTTGTTCATTTCAAAGGGAGCAATTTGTTTTGCCATGCCACTTGCTGCCAGTGAAAAATGCTTTACTGTAGAATGCTTACATGCATTCTCATAAATCAATAGCATGGAGAAAGAGCATTATTGTGGCACTGAATTACACAGTATTACTGAAGTAGGCCCAGACAGAACCAGTGTGTGCAGAAGAAAATAAAAAAAATCATAAAGCTCAAAAACTGTATAAGTTAGTTATTCACAAATATCTAGACCTCCTTCGGATGTGCCAGTGCTCTTAGCTTAAAATTGACATTCCTTTGGACTTCCTATACTGTAGTTTGTTCACCATAGGCACTATAAGTATGTGTATTTCAAGACTAGACTTACACTTTTATTCAATACCATCCAATCCCACAGATCTCCATTCACAGACACAGGCAGCATCTGAACTGAAGCGCATTTAAAGAGGGAAAAACACTCACTCTGCCACTGAAACAACCCTTCCATTTGAAATGTTAATTATAGATCTGCTGAGTGTATGGGGCTTGTGTGCCTGGATTGACCTCTCATTAGACATGTCAGACAGGCAAGGTCATTTCATTAGACTGTGTGTGTATCTGTGCCTGTCAGCATTCTTTCTGTGTGGGGCTTAGACTATCTCTATCTCTGAATCTTTTATAAGTGTGTTAAGGCAAAGCAATCAATGCTAAAACTAACTCCTGCTGTATATGCGTACTTCTCTTTGTGAACCCTCAATTCAGCAGTTCTCAACCTGTTTGACTACAAGATTCCTTACTGCTCACAACGATATTCCAACAGCCCATGGCTTTTTGATTGTTTGTAAGCATTTTAAGAAACTTTGTTTCACCCACAATTTACTCATAATAACCCAATAAAATATTTGAAATTTCATAACTAAAAATTACATCAATATACAAATATCCAAGGTCTGATTTTAAGTTTTGTGCAAGCCAGGCTCATTCTAATTTCATACCCCTATATACACTTCTGGAGAGAGCAAAATACATCCCAGGAGATAAATTTTTTTTCTTTCAGTTTTTGCTTTTACGAATCCGCCAGAGGCCGTTGTGTAAATGTTTTTCAGATCTCACATTTCGCGAGTGCCATTCACAGCTCGCGTAAATCCACCAAATTTTGCGAGCAATGTTTGCGCCTGCTGTTCTCGCGTAAATTCACCAGAGGCCACGGTTGACTAACTCACTGACTGACTACTGACTGACTGATTAACCAACGATCCCTCCACCCTTCGCTAAAACTAACCAGTATTTTAAAAAGCAGTATTTTAGTATTTCAAAAAGCACAGATTGACCCACACCACCAACTTCTCTAAACCCAACCATAGTGTTTTGAAAAGCAATCCAAAAAAAAAGGAAAGCCCCCTGATTTTTACCTCGTTTTCAGATTTTACCACATTCTCACCATGTTATTTACTTGTTTATTTTATTTTCAGGGTTTCTGTTTTTGTCTTACCTGCTTTCTTGAAACTTTTTCAAAGGACTCAAACCCTGTCATTGGGACCAACTCCACTCTGCATCTTAAGTCCACCAACGTATGTGTCGAGCTACCAGACAAACTGGTAACAGCAGATGTAGGTAAGCGGTCAGTTGGTAAGCGAGAAAAGGAGCGGCATCATATCGCCCCGTAGCGTTCATTTTAAAGACGAAATGCGCCAATACATAGCTCTGACTACATAATTCGCAATTCTAGAAATGTATATAGAGCTTTGTTTTCAGAATGAGCCAGTGTTGGTTTTATAAAAGGGGGGGAACAGCTGAATGAGATCTAAAATTTTACTTTAATTTCATTATTAATCGCTTGTTCTAAATGATTTGTCTATAAGTGAGGGAGATGTATCCCCCTGTCCCCCTGGTAGCTACACCTGTGCTGTCCAGGCCAAAAATTAAAATCATTTCATATTTTTGTTATTACTTTTATTTTTATATTCAAAAATATGCATAACTTACATGACATAAAATCAAATGTAACTGGGTCAAAATCATTTTTTTAAATAGCATCAATTATGTGAATTAAAAGGTATGCATTAAAATGTGAACTATATTTATTTCTATGGCATTTGCCATATTTAAATAATTTTAAGTCATGTTGAAAACCCCTTAAATCAGTGACCTACCTAAGAAGCACCCGTCTAACTTCAATGTTCAATGTAAAGCACATTGTAAGGACACAAAGCACTTATTAGTATGTGAATTGCAAGTCTCACCTTTACTTTTTCCTGCAGTTTTCCCAGGTTTACAGTGCTTTCTATGATGCGTGTGAGGACGCCCTGCTTGTCTTTCTCCAGAGTTGAAGCCTGACGATGTAAAGAGGGAAGAGGAAGGATTACACAACTACAGGAAGGCAAGTAGAGGAAGAGGAGTATGGTTATCATTGAAAAGGGGAAGAGCCAGGAGAAAGAAACAGTAAGAGAAGAGATGTTACTTTGGGATAATGGCAAAGCAAGAGCAGTAGAGCAAATCTATCAAAGTTTACCTAGACGTATGGATACAAGTATTCTGTTGAGTACAAACATTTTGTGAAGCAGCAGTAAGGCTCACCCTCAAAAGTTGCTGGGGAAATGGTTTGATACAGAAAAATGAATTCAGTGCTTCCTTGACTAAAATGTGCTTTGTTAAAAAGATTGTTTACCCAAAAATTAAAATTTACTCACTATTTACTCTCCCTCGAATGCTTCCAAACATTTATGAATCGACTTCTTCTGTTTAGCACAAAAGAAGATATTTTAAAGAAAGCTGATAACCTGTGACCACTGACTTCCAGAGTAGGAAAAACAAATCCTGTAGAACGTTCGAGGTTACTAAAGTAACCCTTCGTTCCCCGAGGAGGGGAACGGAAGCACTATAAGTGGATTTGATTGTTAAAATCCACGTATGGGAGATTCGGTTCAGAAGCTACTCGTCTGAAAGAGTATTGAACGGGCCAATTAAGAATGAATTGGCAGCGCAAGCCTGCGCAGGTGAGCGGCATAAGCAATCAACTGAGTATATAAGCTCACCTGGCGCCAGCAGACGCTATCCTTTTTAAGCTGAAGAGACTTTTAACAGCTAAGGGACAGTCATTATGGCGACGGAGTATAGTGCTTCCGTTCCCCTCCTCGGGGAACGAAGGGTTACTTTAGTAACCTCGAACGTTCCCCTTCGGGGGGAACTTCAGCACTATAAGTGGATTTGATTGTTAAAATCCACGTATGGGAGCCCATTGAAAGCGCCATAATGACTGCACCTTACCAACACCCACCATGAGAGAGCGGTCAGGCAAGCGTGACGCACCCAGATCACGAGAGGCGTGGTCCTCCAACGTGCCCATGGCCCTAACTTATCCTACTTCAAAAGAAGTTTTACGGAATAGGTATCTTTTTTGGGAGTCGCTAGCGTCTAGATAATTCTAGGAATACACGACAGTACGTTGGGAAGCGTGCCATCCCAGTAGGGAGGACGCTGCGGAGACCATCCGCACCCAATAGGGGGAAACAAATGGAATTACATATGGACTAACCCTGAAAAGGGGGAGTGCGCATAAGAAGGTGGTTAGCAGATAGGGAAAGCACGGGTCCGCCCAGGGGGGGAACTTAACCGTGGCGGAAAAGCATATGGGGATCACCAGCGGGGATCGGCCATAGCAGGCACCTATACCCAAAACGCGGGCTGACCAGCGGGCAGACCTACTACGTAATGGGCCAGCAAGTGACTCCTCCGCTGAGTCAGTGCTGGGGGCCTCGAAGGAATCTGCAGGGCTCACCGAATGGGGAACTTTACTGACAGACAGGAGGGTGCACATCTCTCCGTGTTAGGGAAAAAAGGCACCGCAAGCGTGTACAACACCTACCGAGTTGTTTCCTCAATCACCAAAGGTACCTAACACCCTTGAGGAAACCGGCTCCACTCGCAGATTATAAAATCTTGCAAATGTGTTGGGTGTCGCCCAGCCCGCAGCTCTACAAATGTCTGCTAAAGAGGCGCCACGCGCACACGCCCAAGAGGATGCAACGCTCCGAGTGGAGTGCGCATGCACTCCTGGGGGGCGCGGCTGGCCTCTGCTCAAATAAGCACATGAAATGGCCTCCACAATCCAGTGGGATAAACGTTGTTTAGACACGGCACTTCCCTGCTGCCGTCCGCCATAACAGACAAAGAGCTGCTCAGAAGATCTAAAGTTCTGAGTACGGTCCACATAAATGCGCAGAGCGCGAACTGGACAAAGTAAGGACAGGGCTGGGTCTGCCTCCTCCGGGGGCAGCGCTTGCAGGGTTACTACCTGATCTCTAAAAGGAGTGGTAGGAACTTTGGGCACATAACCCGGGCGGGGTCTCAGAATAACGTGAGAAAATCCCGGCCCGAATTCCAGGCACGAGTCACTGACCGAAAATGCCTCCAGGTCCCCGACCCTCTTAATGGAGGCCAACGCGACCAGCAGAGCTGTCTTCAGGGACAGAAATCTTAAAGATACTGTATCGAGTGGCTCGAAGGGATCAAATCGCAGGCTCGTGAGAACGAGGGCGAGATCCCAAGAGGGCGTGAGAGGGGGGCGAGTTGGATTAATTCGCCTAGCGCCTCTGAGGAACCGGATGATGAGGTTATGCTTTCCCACGGTGCCGCCAGCCACCGCGTCATGGTGAGCGGAGATGGCAGCAACGTAAACCTTGAGAGTGGAGGGCGACAGCCTGCTGTCCAGCTTCTCTTGAAGGAAAGAGAGCACAACACTGATCTGGCAAGATCGGGGGTCTTCTCTGCGAGAGACATACCACTCAGTGAATAGACTCCACTTCAGGGCGTAGGCGCGCCTCGTGGAGGGGGCTCTAGCCTGAGTGATGGTATCAACCACCGCGGGCGGCAGGTTACCTAAGTCTTCCTCGCGTCTATGGACCACACGTGGAGGTTCCAGAGATCGGGACGAGGGTGCCAGACGGTGCCTTGTCCCTGAGAAAGTAGGTCCTCTCTCAAAGGGATCTGCCAAGGGAGGGCCGTCGCGAGGAGGGAGAGCTCTGATATCCAGGTTCGGTTGGGCCAGAGGGGCGCAACTAACAAAACCTGCTCCTCGTCCTCCCTGACCTTGCACATTAACTGCGCGATCAGGCTCACTGGGGGAAACGCATACTTGCGTATGCCCCGAGGCCAGCTGTGGGCCAGTGCATCCGTGCCGAGAGAGCCCTCGGTCAGGGAATAAAACAACTGGCCATGAGCGTTCTCGGGGGAAGCAAACAGATCAATCTGGGCCTCCCCGAATCGCGCCCATATCAGCTGGACAGACTCGGGGTGGAGTCTCCATTCTCCAGAGTGAATCTGCTGCCGTGAGAGCACATCGGCTGCACGGTTGAGCATACCTGGGATGTGAATGGCGCGCAGCGACTTCAGCCGCGGGTGACTCCAGAGGAGCAGACGGCGGGCGAGCTGAGACATGCGGCGAGAGCGCATACCCCCCATGCGGTTGATATACGCCGCCGCCGCCGTACTGTCCGTCCTGACCAGCACGTGTTGCTGCCCCAGCACCGGAGAAAAACGGCGGAGAGCAAGGAACACTGCCAACAGCTCTAGGCGATTGATGTGCCAATGCAGCTGGGCACCTACCCACAGGCCCGCAGCTGCATGCCCGCGACACACGGCTCCCCAGCCTGTGCTGGAAGCATCTGTCGAAACAACAACATGACTGGACGCCTGTCCCAGAGGCACACCGGCCTGCAGGAACGAGGGGTCGTTCCAGGGGCTGAGGGTGCGGCGACACAGCGCAGTAACAGAGACTCGGTGTGTGCCCGCATGCCATGCGCGTCTCGGAACTCGATCTTGAAGCCAGTGCTGAAGTGGTCTCATATGGAGCAATCCGAGCGGCGTGACGGCCGCAGCGGAAGCCATATGCCCCAGGAGCCTCAGGAGCCTCTGAAATATTTCAGTGGGACCACTAACTTGCTGTCGAGCTCCCTCAGACAGTTCAGCAGCAGGCGAGCGCGCTCTCCGGAGAGGCGCGCTACCATGGTGACCGAGTCCAGCTCCATCCCGAGAAAAGAGATCCTCTGCACCGGGGCGAGTTTGCTCTTTTCCCAGTTGACCTGCAACCCCAATAGGCGGAGATGCCGGAGCACCTCGTCTCTGTGCGCAGTCAACTGCTCCCGAGAGTGGGCTAAAATCAGCCAGTCGTCGAGATAATTGAGTACGCGGATGCCCGCAAGCCGCAGAGGCGCTAGGGCACCCTCCGCGAGTTTGGTGAAGACCCGCGGAGACAGAGAGAGCCCGAAGGGGAGGACCTTGTACTGCCATGCTCGACCTTCGAACGCAAACCGCAGAAACTGACGGTGGCTTGGAAGAATGGAGACATGAAATACGCGTCCTTCAGGTCTATGGCTGCAAACCAATCCTGAGGACGAACGCATCGGAGGATGCGCCTCTGCGTAAGCATTCTGAACGACAGCTTGTGAAGGCAGCGATTCAAAACGCGCAGATCTAGGATTGGCCGTGACCCACCGCTCTTTTTGGGTACGATGAAGTACGGGCTGTAAAACCCGCTCTCCATCTCGGCTGGAGGTACCGGCTCGATTGCACCTTTTTCCAGGAGGGCAGCAATCTCCTCTCGCAAGACAAGGGCGGACAGGGGATAGACCCTGGTGAAATACACGCCCGTAAACCTGGGAGGCCGTTTGGAGAACTGTAGTTCGTAGCCGAGTCTGATCGTGCGTATGAGCCACCGCGAGGGGCTGGCCCGCGCTAACCAGGCAGGCAGAGCCCTCGCTAATGACGTCATCGCAGCAATCGTTGACGTACCCGCGGAGGGGCAGCGAGGAGCGGGTGTGCTGATCCGGGGAGCGCGAGGGTCCCACAGAAGAGCTGGAGGAGAGCGATTCGCTCTGGCTCCGCACCCTGACTCCGGAGGGGGGGCTTGGGGGCTGGGAGAAGGGAGACCGTCCCCCCAGCGCCCGTGAGCCGCTGGCGGAGCATGCAGACCCTGCGAGCTGAGAGGCGGCGCGTCCCAGGCTGGCAGGGCCTGCAGTGCCCGTGAGCCACTGGCGGAGTGCACCGAACCTACGAGCTAGAGAGCTGAGCTCAAACTGGCAGGTTTCGGGCTGTCACCTCTGGAGAAGTGGAAAAGTGCCCTTTCATTTCATGGCAGTAAAAAGTGCCGTTGGAAATGGCACCCCGCCCTCCAGCGGGGAAAGAGCAAGTTCCCTCCTCTCCAGATGACCTGTCCCAGGGACGCTTCGCGGTCCATTGCCAGACTTAGCGGCGTCCCGGGCAGGGGGAGTGGCCTGCTTCCGAGGTGCTCGACGCGCTCGCTTCGCCAGAGGCGAGTGCGGGGGCGGTGCAGCTCTCGTAGGCGGGCGCCTTCGGCGAGGAGCAGGTATGGATGGCACGGCGGGCGGAGCGGGCTTACGGGGCCGCCGATTAGACATCACCCATCGGACTGCTCTCTCACTGCCTCGAATTCCTGGGTGAATTCGCAGACTGTGTCGCCGACTAGCTTGGGATATGGGCGAGTCAAGAAAGCGGACTTTGTCAACTTCGCGCATATCACCAAGTTTTGTTAGAGGTGGGGCTTCTGGACCACTAGTGTGGACATCGTCCTCCCCAGAGCACACGCAGCGGACTTAGTAGTCCGAAGAGCTTAGTCGGCTGCGGTGCGAAGCTCATAAGCCTGGGTTGGACCCACCCTCGTGCAGCTCAGCCAGCGCCTGCGCTTGGTAGCGCTGGACGGTGGCTATCGCATGCAAGGCGGATGCAGCCTGGTCCGTAGCTTTGTAAGCTCTAGCTCCGAGGGAGCCGAAAACTCACAGGCTTTGGATGGGAGACAAAGCAGACCCCGCCAAGAAGAGGCGCTGTGCGGATTAACCACACTCAACCTGAGGAATCGCCACATACCCCCTGGCTGCTCCACCACCAAGAGTGGTGAGGGTGGAGGGACACGCAGCACGAGCAGAAAAAGGTGCTCTTTAAGACCGCGCGAGCCTACTGTGCGTCGCCGGGAAGAAGGGAACGCCCCTCTAGTCGGTCCGGCCGCGGAGCTGGGGGATAAACCATCTCCAACCCACGGCCGAAGCAGCCCGGGAAAGCACGGCTAACACGTCCGTTTCAGTATCCGTTTTGACAGCGCTCACCTGCCCGAAGGGGGCGAGCGGGTCCGGATCATCGTCGGACAATGAAAGCCCACCCTCCGATGCCGCGGAGGACATCTGATCTCCGGTGACAGCGAGCGTGAGAGCTACCATCTGATTAGACGGATCACTCCCAGCGCCCGAAGCTTGGATGGAGCGCTTGGAGGAGCGAGAGGTCCGCGAGCCCTTAGGCGGCGGATTATCTCTCGCTGGAACCCTCAGATCTGCCCGAGCGCCCGCTGCAGAACAGGAGGCGACTGGGGCGGCTTGCTCTCTCACGAGAGTTTGCCGCGATCTCAACTGCGCGACGGTCATGGCATCGTAGTGACGACATGAACCGCCCCCGAGCACCACATTAACATGCTGGACCCCCAAACATGTAATGCAGTGATCGTGCCCATCATCCGGAGCCAGGAAACCCCCGCAACCAGAAACGCACAGTCGGAGCGCCGTCCTGAAAAGGACGTGCTGCACGACTGTGTTGCTCTTTTAGGATGCTTTGCAACAATACGCACCGCTCTGGAGGACCGGACCCAAAGGGACGCCAGGCAAGGGAGAAACCCAGCTCGACCATCTGCCGCTGCGTGGACTCGCTCTGGACCGGGAGACACTCGTTCGCTCGAAGTGGCTGTAGACAGCAGGAGGAACCCTCATGAAGCTCGATCAGAAAAGTCTCTGAAGCGAAAAGGATAGCGTCTGCTGGCGCCAGGTGAGCTTATATACTCAGTTGATTGCTTATGCCTCTCACCTGCGCAGGCTTGCGCTGCCAATTCATTCTTAATTGGCCCGTTCAATACTCTTTCAGACGAGTAGCTTCTGAACCGAATCTCCCATACGTGGATTTTAACAATCAAATCCACTTATAGTGCTGAAGTTCCCCCCGAAGGGGAACTATGGTTACAGGTTTTCACCATTCTTCAAAATATCTTCTTTTGTGTTCAACAGAAGAAAGAAACTCAAACAGGTTTAGACTAAGGGAGAGTAAATGATGATGGAATTTTCAGTTTTGGATGAACTGTCCCTTCAACAGAAAGCACCAAGAGTTGTGAATTTAAGATGAGGAACAGTGTGAACCATTGACAAAATAATAATTTGGGCTTGTTTAAAATGTTGACCATGAATTCAGCTATTATTTTGTCTTGTGGGGTATATGTTATTGTCTGAAATGGCTTATTCAGAACAGTACTATAAAAACATGCACATTTTATGACCCATATTTATTTTAATTATGTCTATTCTGCAAGACATATTTATAATTATGAGCCAAACTGTAAATGAATGTACAGTTTCATGGATAATAACTTCCAACTGGTGCATTATTGAAAAGCACTGTAATAACAGTAAACATTTAATGAATATTTTTTTCTGAATAATAATGTTGATAATTCTAAAAAGCAACAATTTTCAGCCATTTAAAACTGCATTAATCCATAATGTTGTGCAACAATTCCTAAAATGTATAGACAAACCAGTGTAGAAATTCTCTGTTCTAATGAGCTGCTGCTGCTGGTAAGCACAGATCAGAACTAAAATATACCAGAGATCAAGACATAAGATGTAAATAGATAGCTGCTTGCACAGCATGCGTGTGAGCTTCTGTAGGATTACCATGAGCATGAGCTGGTCTCTTTCATGAGTGGTTTTCTCTGCAAGCGTGACGATGTTGGCAAGGTACTGATGAGCGATGAGCTCCTTTTCTAAAGAGTCTTCAACCTGTTGCTTCAGAACACTTATGCGCCTTTGAGCCTTCCTAAAGTGGGTGAAGGGGTGAGAAAGGAAGAGACATGTTTAACATGGAAAATAAAAAATCTATTACAAGTCAATTTTTAAAAACTATACAGCGGGGTCTTATACCAAATTTTAAGTAAAGTTTATTTATAAACTAATTTTGAGAGGATCACATGCTTATGATTGGCCACGGCTGATCCACATCATCTCACAATAGATTATCCAATCAGATGATTCCTAGCTGACTATAAATAACCAGAGTTTTCCTATCTCAATATCTTCATCTTGAAGAATCCATTTCATCTTGAAGAATCCAGCCCTACTCCATTTCCTTTCCAGATGGGCGACGCGGCGGCCCAGTGATTAGCACTGTTGCCTCACAGCAAGAATGCTATCGAACCGACTGACATTTCTGTGAGGAGTTTGCTCTATTTCCCTGTGCTCGTGTGGGTTTTCCCCAGGTTCTCCAGTTTCCTTCCACAGTATAAAAACACACAATCGAAGTAAATTAAACTTACCAAATTGATACCATAGCCAAGCTCTTAGCGAGTACACCTCTCCTCAGGCATCCTACATCTGTCATTAGCCAGAAATAAGCCAGGGAGAGTTCATTGAGATCTACCTGAGCTCAAACTCCCCTCTCGCCCTGCAAACTGGAGGGAGCCCAAGGCTCGAGGATCTCATAAGCTCAGGACTCTCTCCCAGGACAGCATGCCAAACAAGCTTTATAAACAATCATCAGCTAAGTTGAACTTTTAAGTGTAAACAAGAAAGATTAAGACTTCAATTTAAGAAGCGATATCTAAAATACTGCTCTATTCGGGACAATTTGACCTTTATTCAAATGTTGATCTGCTTTCTCACTTAATACTTGTCTCAAGCAGAGAAAACATGGATCATCAGGTTACATCAAGTACTTCTGGAGTTTATATTAAGATAAAAATTATGTTGAAACAGCTATAGTGACATCTAAATAGTAATATATGCTGTAATTCATGTTTTTTTTTTTTTTACATAATTCACAACAAAACATGCTCTGCTGGAAATCTGCTGAGTTTTTTTCTCTGAAGAATTCTTTTTTTTTCCTGGTATTTATTTGTAAAATAAAAAAGCTAATAAAAATACTAGCCAGAACAACTATTGTCAACCTTGACAACAATACATGTTTTTGAGCATTAAATCTGCATTTCAGAGTGATTTCTGAAGTGCCATGTTACACTAAAGGCCAGAGAAAAAGGCCAGTTTGCTATTGAAAAAAATTTAAATTAAAAAATTAAAGTAAAATAAGAAAATTTATTTTTAATGACTGTTTTACAGTCTTATTTAAATAAATACAGCATGAAGTAAGCATTAAAAACGTTTATAAAAAGTAATAAAATAACTTGCAACTTTAAATACTGGAACAGTGTATTTTTTTTAAATAACAATAGGTTAAAAAGGTGAGACAATTTAATGAACATTGTACCTTCACATTTTCTCAAACTAGGGCTGCACATTATTTTGTTTGAGCATCGATATATCGCATTGTGTGTGTCCACAATAGTCACATCGCAAGATATGCAATGTTGAGTCAGGATTATAGATGACCAGGAACCAGTAAAAACACATGAGATTTGTGGAGTCACTGCAGAATTTAAGCATATTATAGAGTGAAATTTAATATTCTATGTGTGTTTTTAAGGCCTGCGAGCATTTTAAAAGAGCTTAAAGCATTTCATTAGTGAATAAAGAAGCTTAATTAAGATTAATTTTGTTATTATGCAATGTTATTTTATACTTATTGCATTTCTGTACCCAAATGCTGTTACACTATCCCCAGAAAAGCATAAAGTATGCGTTTACTTTACTGTAATGTTTGTTCCATTTTGTTTATTTATGATTGTACATTGTTTTTTATATGTGTCTACAAAATC